TCAACAAAAACTCGGGCAAAAAATTTTCAAAAAATATGGATAATGAAGGAAGATCTTGTGTTTATGGATTAAGACATCAAGTAGCTTACCAATTTCGTTTTAATACTACTACTATTGTTATTACTGATATTCATATTTAAAGTAGAAAAACGATGACAATTACTTAACAATCACAATTAAATAATAACTATGACAGGCAAGATGTCTTACAGCAGTTGTTTCTGATACAGAACATAATAAGTTTTTGGTTGGCACTCAAACAGTTATTTTATGACAGTTAGATTCATTTACTTGAGTTTAACGAAGATGAATTTGAATTGACGAGCAGTGTTTATCAACATCCAGAGGAAATATGGGATATTGCCACATGTCCAAGTGATAGTAATCTATTTTTTACTTGTTATAAAAAATGTAAATTATATTTAATTGATTATATTGATTATACTTTGTAAATAGAAGTAATTCACAGAATATTAATACACATACATACATACATTTTATTATTATAAAGTTGTGATGAAGTCAGTTCAATCTAAAGCGACATTGTGGAGATTTGGTGATGCTAAAAGTGAAGAAGTAAATTTAGAAGATGAATCACACAGTTCAAGAACTCTAATTGGATCGTATTTACCATTAGAACCTGTTATGGAAGTTGGAATAGACGATAATATTAAAAAGTTAAATAGAATAAATTAGACTTGTTAAATGATTTATTTACAATTGAGTAAATTGTCTAAATCCCTCCCCTTCTTTTTTTATTGAATAAACAGAATTTTATGGGATCCAACAAAGAAATATTTAAATCATTTTATATCTATTCATGATTTTGCTATAAATATTTGGACATTTGATGATCAGCAATTATCATCCGCAAAGGTAACCATATAATAGTGATAGTAGTAATAAAGAAGATGGTTATGACGACGAGAATATAATTGATAGAAAAGATTTCTATTATTTCTATTATTAAATAGTTGTCAAATAAAATAAACTTTTCATCGGAATCAGGACCTTTGTCATCATTGACAACGGGTGCATGGAATCCAAATCAACCAGAAATTGCAATTGCTAAAGAATGCTCAATACAAGGCTGGGATATCAGATCTCAAAGGCATTTATTTATAATTATAATAGTAATATTCGATGATAATAGTTGATTAATTTCTAATTGAATAATTTTTTGATTGTTAGTAAGAGTTTTGATATTGATGAAGCACATTCTATTTTGGTACGTTCTTTGGATTATAATAAGAATAAATCATATCAGATTGCATCTGGAGGTGATGATTGTATGATTAGATTTTGGGATTTAAGAAATACATCGGAATATCTCAAAGAAATGTCAAATCACACTCATTGGTATTTATTTATATTTCTATCAATTAAGAATAATTGTTACTGTTATATTTATAATTAACTAACAACAATAACAAAATAATGATATTAATGCTATAATTATTGTTGTT